CATACGTGAATATTCAAAATATGCTTTGTCCCTTTTGTTTCCTTGCAAGGTAGGGTTTTGTATCAAAAACATCAAACATGGTTCCTCAGCTAGAGTTTTGGTCTCTTAAGTTGAAGTGTGGTCAACCATTGATTCTCAAGGGCCTCTCTCAAGGAATGACCTCTAATATCAAAGTGGTTGATCACAAGTATCATCCAATCTCATTTTGATCAAGGATATCTCAAATTTTAATGTGTTGTTCCTCAAGAAAAGTCAAAGGTTCATGTGTTTATTTCCATACCTTCATCAATAAGTAACCTCAAATTTTGGTCAATTTAATCAAAGGACATTCAAGGGCATATTATTTTGAGTTCATATGATCATCCATGTACCTTGAAGTGCAAGAAAAGTCCAAGATCACAAGTTGATTCTAAGAGGTTTGACTTAAAAAGTCAACATTAAAAGTCAAAGTTCCAAAGATCACAACTCCTTCAATTCTCAATATTTTTGAATGCTTCGTTTTTGCATATAACTCTTCTAAACATCCTCTTCAACTTCGCTGTACATGAAAAGATCCAATTATGCTTGGAGGATCATCAAAAGTTTGGAGACATTATATGTCATTTGTGGATATAGTGAAATTTTGACCTATTTTCAAGTGACTTTTTCTCAACTTTCAAGAATCATAACTTTTTCAATTTTCAACATTTGAGTTGACTCTTTTTGCAACTTACTCTTTGAAATACACTCGACAAGTTTGCTTCAAAGGTTAAAATCTAATTGTGCTTGAAAGACCATGGAATTTATTAATATATTATAGGTCATTTTCAGCCATTTTGGACATAAAATTTTGCAAGTTTGCATTGCCAGATTTTTGTGCCAACTTCAACATGCCATATATTTTTCCATAAATATCCAAATGCAATATTTCTTGGCACATTGTGATCTTTGTTATGATGTTGACAAGTTGCAAAAAGAATTGAATAAAAAAGCCTCGTGTACAAGATGCCCCATTTGTGTAAACATGACCCCATGAAACTGATTCTTTGCACAATGATCAGATTTTGAAGTTCACTAATTCTCAATTACAACCCAATTTATCAGGTGTTATCCATCTAAACATGATTAGTGAAGTTCCCATAAGCAAAATGACTCATAAAACGCAAGGATTAATGGAGTTTTGATGCATTTCAAGTCACATTTTCTTCATGATGAGGGTGCACACGAATTCAACCAAATTTGGATCATGATGAGAAACATAACAATGCAACCCTATAAACCTTAAGTTTAATATTGATCCTAACACTTCTTCCCTTGATATGAGTTTGATCAAGTCACTCAATAATGTCAAAAGGAACAAGAATGTCATTGGTAAAAAAATTGGCAAATCTTTTTAACATTAAGAAAAATCACTTTTTTTGTTGCCAAAGTTTGAAATGTAGTTTACAAGAGAAACATAGCAATGCAACCCTATAAACCTTAAGTTTGATGTTGATCCTAACACTTTTTCTTCCCTTGATATGAGTTTGATCAAGTCACCCAACAATGTCAATCTAATTTACCATCCCACGTTATTCATTTGCAAGAAAGTAATTTTGGGACCCAACATATAATCACCATATATTGATTCTATATAACACACAAACAATGAATGATTATGTGTAATTTGTTTGTGTGTATGCATAAAACCAAGGTTGAAGATGAAGAAGATTCTTAGTATGTTCCAGGTTTCGTTTATGATTTTACCAAAATCATTGAAAAGAAATGATGCATGTAGCAGATATTTATATGCATGCATGTTAGGAGGCAAAAGAATGCAAAATATTTGAAGAAAATTGTGAATTTTTTGAAAACTTTATTACATAGGTCGACCTATGAAAGCTATGTGTTGACCTGTTCGACGCGTGTGTCGACCAATATAAGTCATGCGTCGATCTGTGAAGGTCATGTGGCGACATGTAGAGGCGACACATCTAATAGAGCCCACAAGCTTTAATAATGCAATGAATGAGCTGACCTATGAAGCGGATGTGTCGACACATAGAAAAATGTTTTCTTCTATGTGTCGACCTGAAGTATGCGTGTGTCGACATATAGGTTGATTTTTCACAAAAAATATTTTTGATGCATGAAACCGTTTCCAACTTGTTTCCAAATGTTTTTATGCTTTCTAATGCTAAGATGGACATTGAGAATCAGATGATACCATCGAATATACATTAACGCTAAAGTATCATAGTTTTGACATCATGCAAAATACATCTAACAGAAAGTTGCACTCACACAGATGACTTGGGAACTGTTAAAATAGCTATAGGGAAAATTTTTGTTAATATAATCGATTAGGTCCTTTGCCTGATTGATTAGATTAGTTCAAAATTTCGCCCCAAGCAATTTAGACAATGCCTTAATGATGTGCAACAATTAGATATATTTTCCTTCCTGTTATAGAACTTACAAATGATTATTTTCAACTTCTAATCGATTAGGAATAAGTGTTAATCAATTAGATTGTTACAAAATGCTTTTATTGAAATTTCATTTTTCATTTCAAAGCATCTAGAATCGTGTTTTAAAACTTTCATCTCTCTCTCTCTCTCTAAACATTTCTTTAAATTTCTCTCACTCTATTTTTAGCCTAAGTGCTTTTGTGAGAAACGTTCTTTTGTGGGTGAGCTCTTTTTTGTAATTCTGGAATGGGTAGAATTGTAAAATTCACCAAGGGAGCCTTTTGTGTATACATTGGTTGAATATTATCCAATTAGGGATTTGATTGGGTTAAAGCTAAACCTGTAAAAACTTATGTTTGGGATTGAGTATTTCAGTCTTAGTATAGGTTGGAGATCATCCCGTATAAAATCTCCTAGGTTCTTGGTTAGTCTGGTGTTAAAACTAAGACAGGTTGAAGCGCATCCCAGTACTCAAAATCTTCACAGGTTCAAAATCAACCCAATGTTAAAATCTCATAGGTTTTTGGATAGCCCGATTAAAACCAAGGTATTGAGCTTAAAGGTTATGGAACTTGAATATTAAGCAATCCAAGGTCTGTGTTTGTGGAGATAAGGCTAACCGCTTCAATCCAACATTTGGGAAGGAAGATTGGCCCCTTCACTCTCGAGCTTATCATGAAAAAAAGATGCAAACGCCCACATGCACCGTCTTGTATATTGTGATTGAAGATCAATCACCATTTTCTTGTATAGGGGGGTTCGTGAGTTTTTCCTGCTAATAGCTCTCGAAGTATTATTGAAAACTCTCAAGATCAATTATTGGGGAGAGGAGTATGTCCTTTTGTGTTTTACCGAACCTTTATAATTCTTGGTGTTTCTCTTTTCTCTTAACTCTTTTTATTTTCGTAATTTAATTTCCGCATTTTATTTGCCGATGCTTAGTTTTTAAAATGGTTTTTAAACGCTTATTTTATTTCTCAAAGTTTTTCAAAACCACATTTTTCTAAACCACACAATTTACCCCTTCTTGTATGTGAAGTCTTAAGTGCAACAATGTTTTCACTTATTATCTCAAAGATTAACACAATAATCATTGAGGTGTTGTATCATCTAGATAATTTGTAAGTAAAGCTACCCACAACAACATATTCTGTCTTAGTTGTGGATATCACGACACTTGCATGTCTCTTTTTATGCTAGGAGACAAGCGAGTTACCAAGCAAGTGACATGTACCGCTGGTACTTTTCTATCTAATCTACACCTAACAAAATCGAAATCGGTGTACCCAACTAAGTCATAATTTGCTCCCTTGGGGTACCATAGACCCATTTGTTCTGTGCCAGTGAGATATCTCATGATGTGTTTGACCACAATGAGATGTGATTCTTTCAGGGATACTTGGAAGTGAGCATAGAGACATACAACAAATATGATACTAGGACGAGATACATTGAGATAGAGAAGTGAGCCTATCATACCTCGGCATTTGCTTTTTTCAAGTGGTTTTCCATTTTCGTCTTTGTCAAGGTTGCATGATGTTGAGATTGGAGTTGCTATAAAAGTCTCTTCCTTAGTTTGATGGATTTGAAGTCCTAGGAAATGTCAAAACTCATCCATCATTGACATTTCAAATTCATTCTGCATCAATTTAGGAAATTTATTGCACAAGGATTTGTTAGGTAATTCTAGTCTAATAGGATGTCATGTTCAATTTTCTTAATAAAGTGAGTTTTATCGACTTGTCCTCTTTAAAACTTGTTTTCAAACAAAAATTTGCTTAGATGGTCGTACAAAGCTCTAACAGTTTGTTTCAGTCCATGTAACACTTTCTCGTGCTTGAAAATATGATTGAGAAATCCCGAGCTGATTAAATCTTGAGGTTGATCAACGTATACCTCCTCTTAAATGTAGTCATTCAGAAAAGCGTTTTTCACAACCATTTAAAATGATTTGAAATTCATGATGTAAGAGAAGACAAATAACATCCTTATAATTTCTAATTTAACTACACGAATACAAATTTCATCAGAATTTATTCTATCATATTGATTGTATTCTTTTGCGACAAATCTGCCTTTATTTCTTAAAATAATGTCATCCACGTCCAATTTATAGTGAAAAACCCATGAGATACCCATCACTAGATAATAACTTATAGTGAAAAACCCATGAGTTACCAATCACTAGATAATAACTTAGGCTTTTGTCCTATTGTTAGATATCATATAGATTTAACCAATGTTTTAAAAGATTGCATTAAACATTCTGTAGAATTATCAAAGATCACAACCGAGTAGTCACAATAAATAAAATAGTGGAAGCTAGCCGTAAACGGCGGTTTACTTTCAAAATAAGCTTCAACCAATAAGTCCTATGAAATTATTCTATAAAATTGAATAAAAAATCATTTTTATAAAAAGGATGACCAAAACGGCAGTCATAAATATAAATAAAAGTTTTATTCATCCTCCTTCCTCTATTATGTTCATATACTATATATAGATAAGCCTATCAAATTCAATGCAATGCAAAAAACATATTCATTTGCAATTCATAACAGTTGCTCAACAATGGAAATGGTTAAAACAATATTGATATTATTATTGTTCATTTCATCTACCCATTTAGGAACAACGACAACAACCACAAACCTATTCCGAGAATACATAGGTGCTGATTCCAACAACGTTAAATTCTCAGATGTTCCTATCAACCCAGGTGTCCAATTCCATTTCATTCTCTCCTTCGGTATCGACTACGACACCTCGTCTTCTCCTTCTCCCACCAATGGAAACTTCAACATCTTTTGGGACACTGATAACCTTAGCCCCTCGCAAGTTTCTTCCATCAAAAACCAATATTCAAATGTCAAGGTAGCTCTCAGTCTTGGAGGTGACAGTGTTGATGGTGGCTACGCTTATTTCGATCCATCTTCGGTGGATTCATGGCTCTCTAATGCAGTTTCTTCACTCACCAAAATAATCAAAGAGTACAACTTGGACGGAATTGACATCGACTACGAGCATTTCAAAGCAGATCCTGATACCTTTGCAGAGTGCATCGGAAGGTTAATCCAAAGTCTTAAAACAAACGGAGTCATAAGTTTTGCTTCGATTGCTCCTTTTGACGATGATCAAGTTCAGAGTCATTACTTGGCCTTATGGAAGAGTTACGGACATGTTATAGATTATGTTAATTTCCAATTTTATGCATACGATAAAGGCACAACCGTGTCTCAATTTATGGATTACTTCAATAAGCAGAGTTCAAATTATAATGGTGGAAAGGTGTTGGTGAGTTTCATTAGTGATGGAAGCGGTGGATTGTCTCCGAGTGATGGATTTTTTAAGGCATGTGAAAGGCTAAAGAGTGAGCAGAAACTTCATGGTATCTTTGTGTGGTCTGCTGATGACTCTATGGGAAATGGTTTTCGCTTTGAGAAGCAGTCGCAGAGGCTCTTGGCTATCCACTAGTTAATTAAATACATACATGTCATATATATATATAGTTAATTAGTACTCATGATGAGACTTTGTTGTGTAATATATATGTGAATCTATACATGTTTCATTTCATATGTTTATGTATCCTAAACATTTTTATGTACATTGCTTTTAAGGGTAAGTCTTATTTTGGTAAATAAATTATCTAAGGTGTCCTTTTAAGGTTTTTTTTCCTGGAGGAAAGTTGGTCAAATTTAAAACACAAGTTAAGGTTCTGTTCGGTAAAAATAACATATATGAAATACAAATACAAATGATAAAAGAACAATAAAAAAACTTAAAACAATAAAAATACAAATGATAATAAATAAAAATAGGAAGATAAAATTTTAATTCAAGAGAGAGGGGTTATTTGTTAATCTTGTATACTTGTAATCTTGTTTGAAAGAGAAAGTAAAGAATAGCCGTTTGTAACTAATCCTTGTTGTTTTATCTTTTTTTTGTTAACACTAACCCTTGTGTGTTTCTTGATCATAAAAAAAACATTTATATTTTGTTTCGAGACATCCTATTCACAACAAAAACAAATGTGAATTAGCCGCCAAACCCACGTATTATTATTAAATAATAAGAAATAATAGTAATAAATATTTATTATTAATTTTGATTGTTTTTTACTATTGATTTTAAAAGTGTATCAGTATTGTTGTCATATTTTTAACTCATAAAATATGAATATTACGTGGATTTAAAAATAATTGAAAATAAAAGTAATAAGTCCATGTAAGCAAAACTAATACATATGAGACAGTACATTCACGGTTTAAAAGTAGAAAAAAGAACCAGTTTGAAAAAAATATTGATAGCGAAACCAACACGACTTGGTTAAATTTTGCAAGTGATTATAGGAATTTTTTTTTAGAGATTAATTTGGATTCTTCAATTTTTGTGAGGGGCTAAAATGAGTCTTTACTCATAAAAAAATGTGCAAAATTTTTAATTTAAAAATTCCTAAGTTAAATACTAATAATAATACTAATTTATTAATATTATTATTAAATAATAAGAAATAATAGTAGTAAATTTTATTAATAATATTGATTGTTTTTTACTCAAAATATTGATATTAACCTTGTATCATTATTATTGTCACATTTTTATCTCACAATATCAATATTAATATCCCGTTATTATTATCACTTTATTTAATTACCATATCAATAAACATATTGAATAAAAATATTTTTTTTTATAAAAATAAACATCTATAAATAGAAAAAAAAAGCCAAACAAATTCTAATACTAAGGATATGAGGAAGTACTTTTTTCTTTAAACATGCATATCAATGTTTTTTATATGTAAAAACAGAGATAACACTTATTTGATAAACTTAATATTCATATTTTTAATACATTTATGAGAAAATACAATTAATATAGATAAATTGGCCAACACATTTATATTTATAGTCATAACCAAAATGTGATAGCAAAGTGATGGAATCCTTCTGTACTGCAATCCACACACATTACTCTCAAATATTTGAAAAGGAAGCATTTCTATGTCTGTTTTACATTGAGAAAGAAAAAAATTTATATAATAAATTTCACTTTATTTACCAGGTTTTTTTATTTTACTTTTAATCTCATACAAAAAGAGAAACTCACATCAAAGATATAACTGGGGTAGGAAAAAAAAACTTATTTCTATACAATAAATAAATAACAAATTGATGAATAAATAACGGAAGTAATATTTCAATATCACCTAATGGTCGAAACAATGTACAATAAAATACAAATACAAATGATAAAAGAGAAGAATAAACTAACAATTAAGAAAAAACATAAAAACATAGAAGATAATAATTATTGACTTCTGCTATAAGAGAATGATGCATAAAGAAAATTGATGTATAAGACACCACAAATGGGAAGAAAAAAACAAAAGTAAAATCATAACATCATAAATGGTATGAATAATTATACGATTATTAACACAAATTTAAGATCTATTCTCGTAAACTCTTTCTTTGTGTCTGATTCTATGGAAGAGAATGAAAGAGATATAGAGAAAAGATTTATCCTACTATGAACTTAGTGAAAATGAGGGAAAGTTCATTGAATATACAAAGTCATATAATAAAATAATATATGTATTGGAAATAGAAAATTAGAAATGAATAAAATCATTAATCAAAATCATATAGGCTATCAAATATTTTTTTCGTTCTAAATTATTAGACGTTTTGAATTTTTTACATAAATTAAAAAATATAATTATTGTTGTATGAAAAAGTGAAATTGTACACGAATATACAATATTTCCTTTCATTTATTATAGATGAAAGAAATTTAAGGAATTCGAAGAAAAAATAGTAATAAATGATATAGAGTACTTTGGAAAAAAAATCTTTTAATGTTACATTAGAATTGTAAAGTGACTTATAATTTAAAATAATTTTTTTGACAAATGACTTATAATTTAGGATAGAGAGAGTAGGTTATGATTAAGGAGTAGATTAGAAAAGGAAAATGACCATATTATGACAAAATGACAGTTTAGAGCATGATAAATCTTTTGAATTAATTTACGCTTGAATAATGAAGTAATTTTGATAAATATTTATTTTCTTATTTTGATAGTATAGTCCTTAAAAAAAGAGTGTTTTTTTTTTTTATAAATCTTTACAGAGGGAGCATATGTGTTTTATTTGTGGTGTTAAGATTTGTTATATTTTTTTCTTAACCGTGATTAGTGTATTGGCTATGTCTTATATTTTTATTTGTGTTTATACTCCCAATATTTTGTCTTTTACATTGCATAATGCTAATGTCTTATAAGTGGTCATGCATGTATACGCATCTTATACATTTCTTTCATTAACTACCTTCAAACTTAAACGAATTTCATCTTCTACCTTCAAACATCATATTCATTTACACCACTATATTTCTCCGCCAAACCAAGCTCAAAAACATCATTTCTTTCATTAACTAATTTCAAAACTCAATCACCTCTTCTACAAGTTTGTAATGTTAGTTGTTGTTGTTGTTCCTTTTGTTCTTTTGTTGTTGTTGTTATTATTATTCTTGTTATTATTGTTGTTATTGTTGTTGTTGTTATTGTTGTTGTTGTTGTTGTTGATGTTGTTGTTGTTGTTGTTGTTGTTGTTGTTGTTGTTGTTGTTCTTGTTGTTGTTGTATGTTATTGTTGTTGTTTTTATTGTTATCATTGTTGTTCTTGTTGTAGTTCTTGTTGTAGCTCTTGTTATTGTTGTTGTTCTACAATTGTATTTTTTATTAAAAGACATACAATAATAGTTGTTTAAAGTAATCACTATGCCAAAAAGACCTATAGCAGCGCTTTTTTTGGCGTTTAGAAGGCAGCGCTTTTTTTGGCGTTTAGAAGGCAGCGCTTTTTTTGAGGAAAAAGCGCTGTTATAGGTTCTTCTATAGCAGCATTTTTTTTGGCCTTTAGCAGTGCTTTTTCTCCCCCTTTTAGTAGCGCTTTTTTTGCCCTTTAACAGCGCTTTTCCTCTCCATTTTTAGCAGCGCTTTTAAAAGCGCTCTCTAAAGTCCATTTTCCTAAGACCTTTAGCAACATTTTCCCCCTTTTAGCAGCGCTTTCAAAAGCCCTCTCTTTACCACATCTATAGCAACACTTTTCCTTTAAAAGCGTTGTCTTTTCTCACATCATTGGTTTTTTCCCAAGATCACTTGTTTTGGCAAAAAGCGCTGTCTTTTGTGCATATTTTTATGAAGTTTTTTTTTTGTTTTATACTGTTGCACAATTCTTTATAATTTATCAAACAAACCTGTTTATAACAATTATATTTAACACAAACCTTTATTTCAACACTACTTAGGCCTTATACATAACCTTCTTACAATCATTGTAATTCAACACAATCCTTTATTTCAACACATAGGCCTTATATGTATATTATCATTCAACAGAAACGATCCATACTTATAAAATATATTCCAAAACCGATAATGTCACAATATTTACTATACATATAATCAAAAATTACATAAGTACGAATCCTCACAACAACACAATATGACTTCGATCTAGAAGTATATCAATAAATTCCAAAACTATATACGACTTCCAGAACTATAATTATCCAGTAGTATGTACATAACATCACAACAACACAAATCTCTGATCAAAAGACATAAAAACTATATACCTTATACAATTCTCATCTCAAGAATGTATTGACATCATTCCTCCTTAATTTCTTCCAATTTTTCTTTCAAGTAAGTGCCACACTTGAATTCATCAAAGTACTACATTATATAACATAACATGCATGATTTAGTTAAAACTAATTACTTAGATGAAATACCGGTTAAATATCAAAATAAATCATATAACTTATAAATCCATACCATGTTTGGAATCTCTATTTGCCCCGAATGAATAATTTCCTTCATAAACCTAAATACAAAATAGTCGTAATCAATACCATTGCGCTGACGAGGACACTACACATGGAAAAAAAATACGAATACATATCAGGATATATAGTTTAACTAGTTTTAGCAAACAACATCACTATAATAATCAAAATTGTGAAAATATATCTGCCTCTGATCCAACTAATGTTGTTAGTCTTACTCTTTGGTACTCTTGCTTGTCTTTGTGATCGAAATATTTGTATAGCTCTAAACATAATATAAACGGATATTTATAACAATCTCACATAATGAATAAAGATATACACGAATTATTCAGAACAATCTCATCACTTACGTATCAACCATCTTCTTCATATCAGGATATTTTGTTTGATCTCCATCCAATGAATCCAAATAATACACAATTTCTTTTATCGGATTAATCGCAACTAACAACCAGTGTCTACTGTAAAATAAGACAAAATTTTAAATGAAAATGTTATAGAGAATGTTTAAAAAGAATAATTATAATAAATGAAATTAGAATGAAATCTAACCCATGGCTAGTATTATATGGCAAAAAATACAACTTTTCTGTATCCGTGGCCATAAATGCCCGG